GAGTATCAGGGACGCGCAAACTATGCCACCTGTCGTGGAGCACGTAGGTACGTCAACCCAATCTGAGGGAATCACTGAGGTCAGATCCACCCCAATCCGTCGCATGGGCCCTTGAAATGCTTTTTCGCAAACACTGAGTTGAGCAACCGACTTCAAAGATCACATGGAGAAGAGAAGATGACCCCTACAAACAGCGTGAGCACTCCAACCCCTCCCATAAAACGCCCGCCGCGTCTCATCTTCATCACCACCCACCATAGCCCTGCCACTTCTCCCACTGCCGTAGCCAGGCACCATGCAGACGCGTCGCTTCGAAAGGGGCATGTTTGGTCGGGCCGGGCGCAGCGCCCCCGGTAGCGCTGCGCCCCCGGTAGCGCTGCGCTCGCCCAAACTACACAACACTCTACGGTGTTGGTAAATCTCGTTCAAATTAGGAACAAAAATCGGTTGGTCAGGACAGACCCAGATGAGACAAGGTGGTTTAAAGAAGAGGAAATCTTTCGAATTAGGGTGCTTGATGAAGGAGAACAGTGGTGGGTGTTTAGACCCGACACCTCAATAGCACACCTAGCCTTTGATCCGGCCTCTTGGGTCTGGACTAACCGGCTTGGCAGAGGTAGAACAGGAAAATGACAAATTTTCTCAATGACAGTTAAAGGAGCCTACCGTCTGCTACGTCCAAGGGTGAATCTAAAGGATGTGGCAATGGATCGTTGGATCAGGCTTCTAAATCTGGAAAGGAATGCCCTGATGCATATCAAATGGTTCAGGCTCAGTAAATCACTACCAGCCAAGATTGCATCCTTACAATGGCAAGTGGAGCACCGTTGCCTACCCACAAATGATTGGCTGATTGACCGCACATCCTTGGAACAGAAGGGCCTATCTCTCCCCTGGTGTAAACTATGTGTGACATCATACCCCGCCAGGCGGATACCTGAGACAATTGAACACATCTTTTTGCAGTGCCCTGGGTCAGTTTGGTTATGGAGATGGTGGGATCGAGTGTGGCGCCTGTTAGGCGCATCAACCCCTTGGCCATGGGACTGGAAATCAATTCTGTGTGAAACCTGGCAGTCGGAACAGGCGAGCAATTTTGAGAGAAATATGTTCACTGTGGGACGAAGAGCAATCTTTTGGGCAATCTGGTGGAAAAGATGCACTAGGGAGATGGAAGGAGTTCGCCTTGAGGCACCTGCCATTATAGAAGCAATCAAGCAACAGATTCAGGTTGACCTCATGGTTCAATGGGATAAGGTTAAGGAAAAAATAGCCTTTTTACACTCAAGAACACAAGTCAAATTGCAAATCCAATCCTTCTGTAATGACTGGCTGGGAGGGGAGCATGGGGGGTTGATAGCGAATGTGCAATGGAAAAGGGGGGAGGGAGGGGAGGGAGGGAATAAGGGAAGTTTTGAAAGGGACTACCACCTTCAGTTTCATGATTGGACTAGAATTGACTCCTCCACCCCATTGCGGCCTCTCTCTGATTTCCCTGATCCCTTTCCGCCATCAGCAAGCTCAATGGTTGAGACCACTTGGTATGCAGGCGCTTAAAGAGAGTCTCATCGGTGTGTTGCCTTTTCTGGCATTTCTGATATTTTGCTCAGTTCAATACTCAGGTTACCAGACTAATCAATGAGGGGGGCAAAGAATTACTGTGTAACAGTTAGTATCTGGCGCCTGTTTTCGGGTGAAGAGATTCTCCACCCCCCTTTCTAATCTCCTGCTCAGTTAATACCCTGGATTCCCGGGTAATCAATGCTGGGACGAACCCTCCACATCTTTTTCCTGATATGCTTCATTCATTTTGTATATGGGACGCTGGACCCGTTTTCCAGCAGGTGATGCTCCCTGCTAATAGATGGAGCCGCCCCCCCAGGTGCTAGTGGTGTCTGCTCTCATCAGCATCACTAACACTGAGGGGGGCGTTTTTTTTTTTTTTTTTTTTGAGGGGGGCGTTTTTATTAATAAAAAATAGAAAAAAAAAAAAGGCTGCAGACCAGCAGATAAGCTGTGTGGGCTTTATTGGACTGTCAACACAGAATTACTGCATGGGCGGTTCTGACACGACTGACAGACCATTTAGGACTGACATCATGGACTGGACTGATGTCAGATCTGACATGACAGACTCTGACAGGACAGACCAACAGACAGAACGGGAACCGCAGACACAGCCTGTGTGCAGGCTCAAAGATCACGGTCAACTGCCGGCTATGGTCAGAAGGGAAGTCAAACCGTTGACAACCTACTAACGACAAGCAGACTAACAAACACTCGATGGCCTCTAGACGGACCTCAGACTGACAGAGCTGACAGACCAGTTTTGACAGACTGAGGTCAGAGGCACAGGTCGCTGGAACGAACTCACTCGATCAAGGTCTTGATTGGAGATTGCCGCCGGTCAAATTTGACCGAAACACAGGGGTCTGGCTGACTCACTGTTGCTCTGCGCCAAACTGAATGCTTGCCGGAAGTTCGAATTAATTACCGCACATGCATCACCGATTATTTTGTTGCAAATTCGACCCTTTAGCGATCGTCCAAAACCTGTGGTCGGCCAAGCAGGCAAAGCCTGCCGCTTTGCGGGTTGCCGTGTCCTCAGGTCACCGGAAGGCTAATTAGGGTTGACGTCCCAATTAGCAACAGGGCCAAACTCAAGCCGGGAGACCACTTTTTTTTTTTTTTTAACTCGTTTTCTCCCCCGTGCGTACCAATCAATCGACAACTGTCATCGCCGATGTTGTTGAAGACTACGGGGCACTGCCCCACAACGCCAACCGCCGACAGATTGCAAACTAATTAGTCCCCTGGATGACAGATTGCAAACTAATTAGTCCCCTGGATGCACGCTGTCGTGGCTCTGATACCAACTGTTGTGTGCCTGATTGAAACGAGATACAGCATGGCATCCACACGTTCCCATACACATGCACAATGACAAGGGATCTTGGAGAGAGCAATTCACACCACACCGAATGGGAGGATACACAGCAGAAGCGCTTAAAACCAAAAACAGAATCACAATTAATCAATTCTAATTAATACCCCGCTCCGTCCAGCCAATCAACACATTGTTTCTTCCAAGAATCCCAACCACGTTATTAACACCCAGAAACCAATTATTTTAATTTATTTACAATATTTCATCGAAGTAGTTGGGAGTCTTCTCCTTCCTCCCTCTACAACAAGCCTCAGCTATGGTGCTGCTATGCGCCCACCCTGTCTAGCCCGTCAGTGCCCCACAACCTCCTGAATACAACACGTCACTCTGTGCCACTCAAGAAGCCCACAGCAGATGAAGTGGCAACTCAGCAGAGAGCACAGCTCCCAAGACGAAGAAGAAGAACACCAGCTCAATGAAACATGGCATCCTGCCAGTTGAAGAAGACAGTGGGAAGAGGCTGCTTCGTGGCAGCTGCCCAAAATCCCAACAGATACACAGTGGAGAGGGGGCGCCAATGGCGCTGAAACCCTGAAGGCCCAGCCCTCCTGATGACAGCAGGGACATGCCAGATATGGCCGCCAGTCTTCACTCCATATGACGATGCTGTGCTGCCTGGAAGAATAGCGCAGCGCAAGACAACGTGACCTCTCCTCCAACACTTGTGTAAAGAAATGAAGGAAAGAACATATTTCCCCTTTGCCTCGACTCTTTTGTAACATTCCAGAATACTTCGACTGACTTCATGGCCTACCGGACTATTAGTACCGAGTAGACAGACTCCCTGAATCTAGACTACAAACAGGCAAAAAGGAAAAATAAAAGCTACGGCCTAAGCTCTACAGCAGCAAAGACAAGTCCCTGTAAGGGACAGGTTCGGGGATCAACGCCTGGGGACCTCAAAACTGACTCCGAGTTAGGGGTCCAACCCCGGGGGACTCAAAACTACAAAAAACTTGAAAAAGGTTAAAAAACACCTAACTACTGACAGCCTGCTGGAACCTGCGATTCATCGCATAAGTGTGATCTGAGATGTAATCTTATCCCAATGGGCTGCTCCAAAAGTCTGCATGGTATTAGATTGACCCACCAATGGTTAATCCCACGAAACGCCCTATTGTCTGCTCAGTGGTTGTTGATGCAATGCACTATAGTTGAAAGACGCATGCCACTGCTGCAAGAATTTCGTGCCCAAGGTGTGCGGATGTTCTCACATTGGAGATCATGTGGCATTGAGTCCATGCCATGAGGTGTGATATCGCACAATAACATATTACCCCCCCCACACAATCTCCTAATGAGTCGGTGAAAGTCCTACAAAACCATCTGCCGTGGCCATCCTGTCTTTGTAGAGAGTGAACATGACAACACACACACATGGACATCACAAGTTTCTGTCTTTTTTTCTATCTGTCCAATAATCAACGAAGTGATCTCTCTCTCTCTCTCTCTCTCTCTCTCTCTCTCTCTCTCTCTCTCTCTCTCTCCCCCCCACGTGCGTGCACGACGGTTGGTGTGGTGCTGCCTTTCATACTGCACACTCTGCTCCTATATTGTCCCGTCTTCCTTTTCCTACTCTCCCCTCCTCCTTTCCTCCGTGCCGACCTGCTAAATGCGAAGAAATGAGTATCACTAATAGAGCAGACAAAATATTGGGTAAAAAATGTGGTGAAAGGCAGATAGGTGTAGGCACCTGGCACTCACGCCCACAGCTGTGGATAGCTGTGCACCACTCAAAATATAGGTCTGCGAGCCTTTTTTGTAGCAATGAAGCGTTTTCTACTTGAGCACGAACATCACAATCATTTCAAATGTCCAAATGGAAAAATGTTTTAGACTTCTAGAAATTCAATTACGATTTCTAATATTTTCTATGCATGTGGCTGGGAAAAGGGTTGCTATGGTGATTGTCCAGAACACAGGTGGAAAAGGGCTTGCTGCGGGGATTGCTTAAAACATGCACAGAATACACACAGAAGGGGGAAGGAAAGGGCTGTTGTTGGGAGGCAAGCATGTGAAGGCTGATTTCAGAGAACTGATGGGAAATGTGCAGTGCGAGGGGATTGTGCAGGAGTACGGTACCATGTTCCTTGCAATGGTCGCAAATCGGCTCATCCCAGCTGTGGAAGTATGTTCAGCTCTGCGGTACTGTCCAGAAAGTGGGAACAGACCTAGTCCATGCAATTCTGTTGCATTTTGGGAAAAGCGATCTCTGTTCCTACAGAACAACTCTTATCACATTGCGCCAAACGAAAAGTGGAGCGAGCGCATGCACACTAAAGGAGCTGAAGATTCCCGAGAACTTCACCATGACTGGTTAATGGAGGCAGCACAATTCATGGGCGAAGATATTGACGGCAGAACTCGCTCAACATCCGTTGACATGAACTCTGAGGAGCTTGAGAAAGAGTCTTGGCAGTTGATATTGCCAGAAACTTCAGACGGACGCGATGAAATTGGTGGAAGGGGGGGTGTAGGTTCCTCCAGCAAAAGGATTCTGAATGAGCAGGCTTATCGTGCTGCGGATGTGGATATTGGGCACTTCCTCCAGATATCTGATATACACTTGGACACACATTACAGGTCCTTCCGAGAACAACCTCTTCAAAGTTTTCTTTAAGCTTTTTGTACCTCTGTGAAAGGAGCTTGGTTGTTTGGGGCAGGGACCAACCATGAAAAAATGACGAATTCAACCATTTTCCTGATTAAGTTGCAAAGGTAGTTCCGTCTCAACAATCACATTTGGAATCAATGTTTTGTCGTCCCAGCATCATCGTCTGTTTTCTATTGATTGATTGCTTTAATCCATGGGCAGCAGTGTGCACTGTATCAATTTAAGGCTTGGTTGAATCGCCTGCTAGAAGAAGAAGAAGACGACGACGACGACGACGAAGAAGAAGAAGAAGAAGAAGAAGAAGAAGAAGAAGAAGAAGAAGAAGACGTAGGTCTAAGCTGTAGTCTTCTTCTTCTTCTTCTTCTTCTTCTTCTTCTTCTTATTTAGCTTAGACCTACTTCAATTGCATGCTTTATTGAACCTTTTGCCCTTTCTCATGCCGTAGACCATTTTGTGGTCTATAATTTAATCACATAGCACATATGGTATGGCCTCACTGACTGGCATGGGTGTTAACTTCGCTATTTTTAGCTGTGCCCCCCCTTGCAGTGAGTAGGAGGCTGAAGGTATAGCACCCTGGTGCGATGCCAGAGTGTGCATGATGTACTGCACCTTGACAATGCCTCTGCCATTTCATGGTGATGCCCTTGTGGCTCGGGCCTGCCATGTGTGTTTGGAAAAAGGGTAGAACGGTACTACAACCCCCTAAACAGAGAAAGAAACTGAGACACAAACTGAAGAAAAGAACAAAAACCAAAACAAAAGTGGGAATGGTCTCCCTGTAAGAATAGTACTGTGATAACAGGATGGGAGGAAAAATCGCAAGAAAACAGGAAGAAAAGCAGAAAACGAAACGAGATGCAAAAGGGAGCCTTCTCCACCAACGAGAGACATTTGGATGTGAAGCAAGTATTCCCCGGACACTTTTTTTTTTTTTTTTTTTTTTTTGTCCATTTTGGACCATTTCTCGATTTACGTGTGTCATCCTTGCGCAGGGGTCATTCTAATCTTCATTCTCTGTATCGTTCCAATTTTAACGGATGTCTTTGAAGCACGTTCCCTGGACGCTTTAACCAGTTAGAAACATCAGTATCTGAAGCAAATATTCCCTCATGGACGTCCATACTTTGACCGAATGGAGCTCAAATTCAGAAGATAGGAGCTCAATTTATGATGATCATGTGGTTCCTGCCACAGTTTCACCTGTGGCAGGGAGGGAGGGGAAGGTTGGGGGGCGCACAGGGAGGATTAGAATGGAGTGAGCCCGGTTAATCTCTCTCTCTCTCTCTCTCTCTCTCTCTCTCTCTCTCTCTCTCTCTCTNCTCTCTCTCTCTCTCTCTCTCTCTCTCTCTCTCTCTCTCTCTCTCTCTCTCTCTCTCTCTCTCTCTCTCTCTCTCTCTCAGTTTCTCTCTTCCTCTCTTCCCACCCCCCTTCATGTCTTTGGAGGCGATTGCCATGGGCGTTACATCAACTGCCCCCTTTCCCTCTCGTCTCTCTCTTATCCGTGCATGCCGCATGAGGCTCTTTCTCTCTCACACACCACAAGATGCAAACATGTTGAGCAGAGGTATTGCACAGCTGAATAACAATCGCTCCACATAGTGTGAAACAAATTTGTTTTGCTACGTGAGGTGCAATTGTTTTTAAGGCCTTGCAAGCACTTGCTTTTGATGCCATCAGGAGACGCTGCCTCTCAATTCGGACACATGCAGGGGACCACGAGCCTTGGCTAAGTACTGAGCCACTCCTGTAGGCCTATTGTCCTCCTGGTGTCTCACGGAATATCGTCGTATGCGACCCACTTTTCACTTGTCAGGGATTTGCAGATAGTCGAAACGGCAAGAGTGTGTGAGGGTCCTATTGCTGTGGACCTTCAAGCTTGTTGGAAATTACAAACATCATGCCTATGCTTGCTTGTTTGAGACTCATTGCAACCCAGGCATGAGTTTAATCAAACTCTCGAAACGTGCCAAATAGTAAAGCAGTCTGATACAATCTGCAGAAGTATCCGGTGCAGTTCTATTGGGAGTGAGTCATCGCCTTGGTCTAGGTCTAGGTTCTAGCAAGTGGTGTAGGGTTGGTAGGCCAAGTAAGTACTCGAGCATGGTAACCCGAGGGCTACAGAGCTCTGTTAGCTCAACACAACAAGGTGGGAATGACAGAGGAGGTGCACATCAATAAGGCCAAGGGCTTGCTGGTGCAAGCTGAGACCGAGAGCAGAAAAAGCTCCACTTAATTCTCGAAGAGCTAGTAATCTGATTAAGAAAACTGCCATAGGTAGTAGCTAAGTTACTAGTAGCAAGGGAGCTTATGTGGCACTCTATAGACTCTTTTTTTTTTTTTTCTCGAAGGTTGTGTGGGATGGGGGCCGCAGTGCTTGAGGAAGGGTGCCCGACAGGAGGGTGCATGCGCCGAGTTCACCCTACCTGCCGACGAAGTGGACTCACGCACGACACAGGAGACAATCAAGGACAGCTCTCAACCTCGACCAACTCACACACGGGAGTATCAACCCTGGATCAGCGCTTGCCTGATCGCCGCGCCGGGGCTCTCTACTATCGAACTCAGACGGCACGAGCTAGCGGCGCTACTGGCGACGGGCGATTGTAGACACTCTTTGTAGAATGAGGCTGCAGATGTTTACTTGGTGTCAGTGGAGGTCTGTACTTACTACACTTCAGGAGTCCAGCACTGGAGACACAGATGTGAGAATCGCTGTCTTGGAGGTGCATGACATCATCTTTATATGATAGCGAGTGTGCGTTGGTAAACATACCTGGGGCTTTGTGGAGAAAGGAGTAAGGTAGTACTGGTAACAGTAGAAGGTTACCGAAGAGGGATTATTAAAATGGTTGAGTAGTTGAAGATTGGACATTTTATGATGATCATTCATTATTCATGTTATTTCATTGTTGGTTCAATTTGCAGCCAAACACTCTTTCTCAAGGAATGAAAAAATATTCTGCTCTGTTCCACTTTATCAATGTTGCCCTGCGCTCCTTTGCCCTGCGCTCCTTTTCGACAGGTATTTCCCCATACGATTATCATTGCTATTATTATTTATGGTTAGGGTCTACTTGGGGCCGACCTCGACTGCTGCGATTATAAAATTTTCAAGTCAGGAATGATTGGAATACAAAGCAGTGTCCTTTGGGACATCCGTTGAAATTGGAACGATACAGAGAAGAGTAGCATGGCCCCTGCGCAAGAATGACATGCATAAATCGAGAAATGGCCCAATTTTTTATAAAAAGAAAAGGAATACAAAGCAGTACTGAAGGAATATCAACCACACGCAGTGAAGTCTACCCGCTGTGGGCCAAATTCTGACAGCCCTTTGTAACGCCCCGTGGTCAGTTCTCCTGCATTTCTAGCCCTTAAATGTCAAAATTGGCGGCCTCCATTTGCTCTCAGGGCCAACTTTTGCCAATCTCAATGGCTGCCATGTAGTTGTTTTGCTGCTGTTCTGGGCGGGCATCCGATGGAATGATGCAGGATGTTCAATGTAAACAAATTTCCTTCTGATGCACTGCGATTTGATGTTGTCCTCGCGATTGCACTCGTTTGGTCCGTTGGATTCTTCAGACACCCACTCCTGACACTGCCCAAGACATCCCCCCAAAAAATGAAGACTGGATGCGTGAAAAAGTAACGCCTAGGGAAAACCAAACGGCCGATGTGAACGTGCAAAAATGCAAGAGGCGGAAAAGAAAGGCTCATGCTCTGTGAATAGTGTACTGAGGGCCTGAGGCCCATACTCTGAATTTCCACCGTCCAGTGAGTTTGAAAAGAGAGAGAAAAGTGTGTGTGCGTGCGCGCGCGCGCGAGCGAGCGAGAGAGAGAGAGAGAGAGAGAGAGAGAGAGAGAGAGAGAGAGAGAGAGAGAGAGAGA